CTGCCTTCCACGTGCCCCTTCAAGTGTTGTGAAATTGCCGGACTTGTCAATTTATAATGGGTCCTTATTTCCAGGTAACTTGAACAATGGGAGGGCAGCCTGTTCCAAAGCCACGATCAGTTCTTCTGAGCTGACTCTTCCATGTCTCGGAAATACTACACAGCACTGAAGGCTACCTACACAAAAAGATCTGGGTTCAAATCCAAGGTCTACCGTTTACTAGGGATGTAACCTTCAAGAAGTAACTTAGCCTACCCAATATTGTTTCTGTGTGTACACCGAAAATAACATTACCATGTTACAGTGCTTCACGATGTTGCAATCACAACAATGCAGGAAAACACTAGCCCATTAGATGTTGCTTCCTTTCACTTGGAGTCACTGTCAATGAAGGAAGTAATGAGAAATAAGTCCAAATGTCCCTCTGTTGTTCCCAGTACCCGAGCAAGGAGCCCTGCTTTAGATGACTAGCAAGGTGAGCGACCTGGGTTGTGCCAGACCCAGGTGGCCAACTGGAGCCCAGGTGTGCCATGGATCCTGCCACCAGCAGCTCCTGATGTGGGCCCGGACCTCTGTAGGAGACATCTGTTAGAGCACAAGCCACCAGGATCATTGTCTTGAACTTTAGCCTGTGGCCAGAAATAGTTCATTTGAGTCATAGCTAACAGAATTATCCTCAATGAAGTTCAGGTTAAATGGCAAATTGAAAGAGCCTGATCGGGCTTCCCTGGTGGCGCAGTGGTTGAGAGTCCGCCTGCCGATGCAGGGGACACGGGTTCGTGCCCCGGTCCGGGAAGATCCCACATGCCGCGGAGCGGCTGGGCCCGTGAGCCATGGCCGCTGAGCCTGCGCGTCCGGAGCCTGTGCTCCACAACGGGAGAGGCCGCAACAGTGAGAGGCCCGCATACCGCAAAAAAAAAAAAAAGAAAGAGCTTGATCAAAAACTGCAGGGATAGCAGCAACTTGATAAAATGCTTGAATTAGTTCCTAGCTTCCATTCGTAGTCTTTTTCCCTGAGGAGACAGGCTCCAGCAAGAGCCACTGGCATCTCCAGCCCTTCATGAAAATGGCCTAAGCTGGCCTCCAATGCCACCTGCACGAGTAGAAGCAGAGATCGTGTCTACGCAGGGACCTCTCATGGGTTGGGGAGTGGAGTCTCATGGTAGGATCTCAAGTCAACACCCCAGAGTCATCACCTTCCTTGACTCAAGGTTTCCTCATATATGATTTCAAAGACAGCATCTCAAGTGTTTCTTTTTTACTGGGCATTAATAAAATTCTACGGAGCACAGGAAGAATGAAATTGAGTGCAACTCCCTACTTGCCCAAATGTCAACGGAGTGAAAAGCCCGTGGAAATACAAAAACTAATGCTGAGGGAAGTCCCAGCTCCAGAGGACTATAAGTTCTGGATGCCCTCACCCTCTAGGCTCCACATTGCTATGCGACTCCTCCCCTCGGGCTGGGCATAGAACCCGATTGGCTGCAACTAGGTCCTCCTATATTTGCATCCTCAAGGGCTCCAGTCCCGAGTCCCCACACTCACTGCAACTGAAGTCCTGGCTGCACCAGTACAGTAACCAGTACATAAGACACACCTTCTCTTGATGAAGTTTGTCCTTTCAATGACTGGCAAGAAACTTCCTGCCAGGTTTTTCTGATATGTGCTTCTCCCATCTTAGAAAGACTGACTGGAAAGCCTCTTTGGAGACCTAACCAAACCTGACCATGGAACAGATGAGGTGCCTACAGGCTACTGGGAAGAAATACTCTATTAGGTTGAATCATACGAAATTGCCAATATTTGGGCCTTTTTAAGCTACAAAAATGACAATTGTATATGGTTCAATCTACTTCTACCAAGTAACTTTTGGAAAGGTTTAGAATCGCTAACTATATGCTTTCAGAAACAGTTATAAGCCAATGCTTCAGCCAAGTGTGACCTCGAGGCACCAAGTCCATGAGATCACTTAAAAGAGACCATATGCCGAGCCCCGAAAGTCATCTGAATAGATATCAAAAGATCGAAATCTTATACATCTAGTCTCTGACCACAATGGAATTAAATTAGAAATCAACAACATGATACCTTTAAAAAGTTCCAACAACTTACTTTTTTTTCGGCCATGCCACTCGGCTTGCAGGATCTTAGTTCCCCGACCAGAGACTGAACCCGGGCCCTCAGCAGTGAAATCGAGGAATCCTAACTACTGGACCACCAGGGAATTCCCCCAACAACTTACCTTTTTTTTTTTTTTTTTTTTTTTTGCGGTATGCGGGCGTCTCACTGTTGTGGCCTCTCCCATTGCAGAGCACAGACTAGGGATACACAGGCTCAGCGGCCATGGCTCACGGGCCCAGCCGCTCCACGGCATGTGAGATCCTCCCGGACCGGGACACGAACCCGTGTCCCCTGCATTGGCAGGCGGACTCTCAACCACTGCGCCACCAGGGAAGCCAACAATTTACTTTTTAAAAAACCCATGGGTCAAGAGAGAAATCTCAAAGAAAATGAGAAAATATTATGAACTGACTGAAAATGAAAATACCAAAATTTGTGGGATGCAGTTAAAGTAGTACTTAGAGGAGAATTTATACCTTTAGAGGCTATGTGAGAAAAAAGAGAGGTCTGAAATCAATGGTGTAAGCTCCCAATTTAGGAAGGTAGAAAAAGAACAAATTAAAGCCAAACTAAGTAGAAAGAAGGAAATAATAAAGAGGACAAACCAATAAAATAGAAAACAGACAAGAAATTGGGGGAAAAAAAAAGAAAACCAAAAGCCAGTTCGCTGTAATGCTACGCACAATCAATAAACATTGAGCTGTGCTGATTAAGACACAAATTATTAATATCACAAATACGAGAAAGGACACCAGCTCAGCGTCCAGACATTGAAAGAATCATGCAGGAATTCTACAAAAAACTTCATAAACTTGACAGCTTGGATCAGCGTTCAGCAGATTCCCCGTGGGCCAAATCCAGCTTGTTACTGTTTTTATACTTTTATCAGAACAAGCCACACACATCATTTAGGTATCATCTCTGGCTGCTTTTGCAGTCTAACAACAGGGTTGAGTAGCTGCGTCTAAGATCATATGACCTACAGAGCCTAAAACACTATCTGATCCTTTACAGAAAAGCTTACTGATTTTTGGATTAGATGAAAGAGACGAATTCCTTGAAGCACACAAATACCAAAACTGATTCAAGAAGAAACAGGAAAATCTGACTAGCCCTGTATCTATTAGAGGTATTGAATTTGTAGTTACAAACATTCCCACAAAGACCTCCAGGTCCAGATGGCTTTTCTGGTGAATTCTATCAAACTGTTAAGAAAGCATTAATACCAATCCCACATGAACTTTCCAAAGCCTGGGGAGAAGGGAACACGTCCCAATTCATTCTGTAAGGCCAGTATTATCCTGATACCAAAATCAGAGAAAGACATTACAAGTAAAGAAAACTAGGAAGAGACCAGACTTTTCTAAAAACTAGCACTGAGCTGACCCATCACATTCTGATGGACAGTTAAAAAGAAACAAACAAGGGCTTCCCTGGTGGTGCAGTGGTTGAGAGTCCGCCTGCCGATGCAGGGGACACGGGTTCGTGCCCCGGTCCGGGAAGATCCCACATGCCGCGGACCGGCTAGGCCGTGAGCCATGGCCACTGAGCCTGCGCGTCCGGAGCCTGTGCTCCGCAACGGGAGAGGCCGCAACAGTGAGAGGCCCACGTACTGCAAAAAAAAAAAAAAAAACAAAGGAACAAACAAGAAAAAAACCTAGTACATATCAATAGCTGAAGAACAAGAGATGAAGCAGCCTGGAAACAACGTACCATCATACCTGAGCCTGCATTCTCTCATGGCACATGGAGACACAGCCATCTCAATTCCTGCTACAGGAGGCAAAGCCCACCCCCACTGCTCTCTTCTTCACAGCTTGTATGCTGCAGTGAAAAAGATGTTTGGCCCCTTGGCCTCAATTCCATTCTGACCTGCAAAACGGGATAAAGCTTTGACCACGTCCTTAACGTTCAAAGCTGTGTCACCAGAGCCAAATACCTGGCAACGTGGCAGTCACGTCACAGTAAGTCCCTCGTGTCTCAACCAGACTTAGGTTTTTATACAATAAAACCTAGCAGTACCGACTTCATACACTCTCCCCAAGCTCACCGGCACGCGGGACAGGCATGGCCACAAGCACCTGCAGTGGGCGGTTAAGCGTGACAACTCTGTCGGGAAGGGACTGGCTCAGGAAGTGACTGACTGGGTCAGTAACCAGAGGCTTTGGCTTCTGCGACTGGACCTGATTCCTTCAATTCCTGAGCATCTGCTGAGTCCTCCTGAAACAGGAGGCCACATCCAGCAGGCTCCAAAACTCGGAGGGGTCCCCTTTGGAAGACGTCAGTGTGCACCCATCTCACTTGAGGGGCAGACAGAGTTCCCCTGATTCCCCGCGTTATACTGAGTTCCCCCACCTTCAGTGTCTTGCCCAAGAAAGTATGCTACAAAGAGACAGGGGCTTGACATGTGTGGAGGCTCCTGAATCTTTCCATCCAGGACCAACAAAACCATTGTATGGCCTTCCCAGGGACCACCCCAGACAAGCAGGAATAGCGGCAGAGATCTCTGGGTGAAGCCCTTTTCCACGCTGACAAACAGAAGCCAGGAGGCTGTTTCGTGTCACTACCTGAAACATGCTTGTTTATTTTCTCCCTTCCCCACCCGCATGGAAGCTCCAGGAGGGCAGGGGCCTCTCTTTTCTTGGGCTCCCCCGTGTTGCAGTGCCTGGGCACAAGGCGGACACTTGATCAACATTTGCTGAAGGAGCGGTAGTGAATGACCGTCGGATTCCAGTGTGGAAGGCTGACTACCTAACAATCTGCGATTAGAAAATTTAGGAAGCTGTCTTGCCTGACTCAAGCTCAGTGTCTGCAAAAAGCCTAGCAGACAGACAGCTTTGGAAGTCACGCGTGTTAACCGCGGGGGACGGTGAACTCACAGCTGGCATACGAGCGGCCGTCATCCTCGCACATCTTGTGCAGCTGCTGGTATTCCTCCTGGGCCAGCTCGAAACGCTGCTGCTTAATCTGGTAGATTTCTTTCTTGGCGTTGAGGGCCTCCTGGGCTACAATTAAATACTCCTTCAGCATCCGTTCCTGCTCCCGCCTCCACTGTTCTCTGGGATCCTCAATCTGGGTAAGCTCTGAAATTGAAAGGGTAAGAACATAAGGGACTTCAAAGTAAAATCTTTACATTGACCAATAATCATGCAGTTATATGACTAGTCGATGAGAAAATTAATTAACTACCAGGAGGTACATTATGGAAGCGTCTATATAACGAACCTCCCAGAGTGCGGATCACCTCCTATTTACATATCCACGCTTGGGACGAGAAGAAAGCTCTGTAGACATGCAATAGCTCCATGGAGGGGAAGACGGTACCAGGCAACTTTTCACACTCTAAGTAAATGTTGGTGGACATGAACCCAAAGGAGGTCATCCCTGTCAAACTAAGACACACGTCCAAGCTTCCTCTCCCTGCCTTCTTCAAGCCAGGCTGCTGTGGGCTCTGCTGTCCCCGTGACTGGCTCGCTCCCCTTCTCCCACCTCCCACGCCAGACGACGTCCTTCTGCATTCTTCCTGGACTTCCCATAAATCCCCCGTTTTCCGCTCTGGCTCTCTCACTCTAGCAGCTCCCCTAAGGGCTCACGCCCACCTCCGGCTCCAACCTCTCCCCTGAGCGCCCATCCTTTCCTTCCTCCTCCCTCCTAGAGGCATCTCCACCTGGACGAACGCAAAGTAATTCTGAGTCATTCGTCCAAAGCAGAACTCATTCTCACACAGCGCCCTTTCACTACACAAACCAAAGCAAAGCAGAGGAAGCCACGCTGACGAGCGCCTGCGTCTCCCGCCTGCCCCTCTGAGTAGCGCCTTCCTCTGGATCTACCCACTGAGGCGGCCTGGGACTCGCCCTCAGAGGACTTGTGCGCTCCTTTCCCCACACAGAGTATTCCATGGGTCATCCACAACTGGCAATTCCTGCCCCTGCGTATCACAGTGGCCGACGTACGCCTTCTCTCCTTCTCCCCTTACTTCAATCAGACCCTCACGATCTCTCTCCAAAAACACGCAGGCTGCCTGCCTCATCCCGCCAAAAGCCATCCTCCGTGCGCTCACCAAAGTGACCTTCCCAACTCTGCCTCCGGTTCTCTAACACATGGCCTTTTTTAAAGCACAAGGTTGTACCTTGGCGTGACAAAATGTTCTGGAACTAGATAAAAGTGGAAGCTGGACAACACTGTGAATGCGCCAATTGCCACTGAACTGCAGACTTTTAAACAGTGAACTTTACGTTCTGTGCAACTCACATCAAAATGGTTAAAAATGTAAATTTTAGGTTATCTTTGCCCCATACACACACAGCACCTGCTAGGATGTTTCAAGTAAGTCCTTCCATTTTAAACCCCCTCCCAGCAACATCCCCTACCCCGCTTTACACTGCTACCCCAGGGCCCCTCCTAGAAAGCCTCCCTGGGCCTTAAAAGCTCCCATGGGGAAATAAAAAACAAAGACAACAAAAATCGGGGTCCTGACCTAGCCCCGGAGTCCAGATTCAGTGGGCCGAGGGGGTGCGGGCAGAGTCACAGCTGTTATAAGTGCCCGGATGTCTCTGACGTTGATTCAGCCATGAGACTCACCCCGGCCGACAGGCATCGTTCGCACTCTGTCCAGTGCACCCGAGAGTCTTGGGAACCTTGCAGGTGATCCACGCAGGGCCCCTCTGGTCCCTCACGTCACCATCAATCTGCACAGTTCCAACTTAATATTTGACTCCCCAGGTCCTGTGCCTTTAGAGAGCTATAAAGCTGTGCTATCAAGAGTTAGATTCTCAGGAGCAAGTTTTCTGGAATGGGGTCTCTGGCCCATGTACTAATTGTTACAATAATAATCTTTTATGTTCCTGGGGAAAAAAAAAAGAGTTGGGTTCCCTGAAGGCCTCAGAGGGAGGAGGTGGTATGACCCTGGAGCTGATGTCTTCAGCCACATTCCCCATGGTGCTGGGTCACCCGTTATACTCAAGGGGGCCGGAAGAAAGTCCGTGGTGATTCTTCGGTTTTCGGGTTCATGGCCAAGTCCAGCATGTCATGTTGAATCCTCATGGTGGAGCCTGGGTCTCACTTTCCTGTGTCCTCAGGGCCTCAAGAGTGGCCAGCATACAGAGGTGCTCTGTGACACTCGCTGTGACTCAGCCAGCAGGACAGCAAGGCACACCAGCGGCAAAGAAGGGGACACAGAGGGAGGAGCAATTGGGGTTTACGAGAGACGAGCTAGAGGCCTCGGCGGCAGGTAGGCGGCTTCCAAAAACGTTGTGTAAGGCGGATGCCTGTGCCGTTCAGCACTGCCGCCCGGGCCCAGAGAGGCCCACAGCACGGGGAAGGTGGCCCAGAAGAGCCAGACAGCCCGGCCGCACGCAGCCCAGGGGCACCGGGCCAGCCGGGCCAGAGGGAGGGTGGCGGACCCACCCGGAAGCCCTCCTGCCACTGGCATAACCGCCGGGGAGGGCAGCAGGGCCAGGGCGGCACTCACCCCCCTGCCCAATCCCTGGGTGAGAGCCGCAGTCACGTGAAGGCTGAGGGTACGGATTGGAAACTCCCCTGCCCCAGGAGCCAGCCAGGACGCCTCGCCATTCAGAGTTCCAAATGCTGAATACAGAGGCCGGCCGGCAGGCGACAATGCAGGAATCAGCCCTAAAGGTACCAGCTCGGGTCGATCACACTAAGGGGACAGGAGGAGCCGTGGGACTGAGAGTGGAAGGAGCTTCGTCACTCACATGCTGGGCACCCCGCCCCCGGCCTCCCCCGCACTCAACAAACTGAAGGACAGAAAGCACACCAAGGGGAACTTCGGATCCCCGGTAGTAATGACGATGACAGAAACACGAGGCAGCTAGAACGAAAAGGGGGGAGTGAAGAAATGTGAATCTGAGAGAGAAATGGGTCCCCAGCTGGTCCCAGACGGAGGAAGGCTGAGGAGGCGGCAGAGAGCAAGGAGGGCGGGAAGCATCGCGTCAGCTCGGCACAACGGACACTCCAGGCGGCTCAGCCTCTTCGGGGGGCCGTCCTGGGCACTGCACGAGGGGGAGCAGCATCCCTGGCCTCCACCCACCAGATGCCGGGAGCACCTCTCCCAGGCATGACCATGAAAAATGCCCCAGACACTACCATGTGTCCCTGGGAGGCAAAACCAGCCCCAGGTGAGAACCACCGCTCCCGACAATTCTACCAAGAAGGCTGGCATGGTCAAGGACCCATTATTTTAGCTGTGGTCTTTACATCATTTTCTCCCTTCACAAAGCTCCAAAATGTTTGGTATATTAAAGCTAAAATCAAAGGGATAAGACAAAATGAAGTTAAGGTAACCACTTGGGCATTTATTGTTCCAAGAACTTGTAAACTTCACTCTGCTAGAAACACCCTTCTCATTTTGAGAGAGATTTCTATTACTAAACTGCCTGGGAAATTTATTCCTTCTTTTAGGTATTCAAATTCTGCATTCCACATATTCCATGCAGTCCTGAGCAACACACAAGCCAGGTAGCTACACAACTGCTTCACTTTTTGAAGAACTCAGCTAATTAACACTTCTGATGACACTGATAAAAATCCAGTTTAATGCTGCATTGGAGAGTAACAATTGTTTCACTCTACAAAAAGAGTTCCTAGCTACCAGGGGATCAATATGGAAAGTCATTCATATGTAACAACTCAAGTGTGGCACTGTACTTACTATTTATGTGGTCCATGTAATAAATTCCAATTTGTTTATCATATACAGTTTCCCATCCTAACGGAAGTTCATCCCCAACACAGTCGGCAAAGGTCAATGGCTTTGTTATCCTGCAAAATAAAATTATGAAAGCAAATTTGAAAGTGAGGTCAATTTCATGTAAGTTTGCTGAATTGACTGTAGAATTCGGTTTCAATACAAAATTATTATCTAATTGACTGCTTTTGCTCCAACTATTTGGTTGGAAAATTAACTCACTGGCTTTGCCTCAATAATCGTCAGTAACAGTATCAGTACACTCACAGTTAAAAGCATTACTATCCCACAGTGCAACTTTAAATACCAGCAAAAACAGATATTGACAGTTACAGAACAGGTAAAACAAGCATCTTCTTCCAAGCTGTATGTTTAATGAGGTGATGACAATGGAATGTCGCTCTGCCACAACAACAGGAGAGCACCTATGTTCTCATTCCCTGACAAATGTTCCCCCCTCACAACTTTCAGTTTCTGTACATTACAGCTTAAATGTATCTAAAATGTATTTGTAAGTTTCATCTACCAGTGGTCATAAGTGAAGGAGTTAAATGTTAACCACTGACCAAAGGCAAAAAGCCAAACAAGCATGGTAACAATACAAGGAGATGCCTACTAAATACTGCCTGTATTCTTTACACAGAAGGAATCAGAAACTGCAAAGTATCCTCCTTGAAGTAAATCTGATCAAGGAAAGCTTGGCTTGACACAGATAGATAAAGGAAAGGTTTTCCAGATGGGTTTAAGTAGAACCTCCCCCGCCCCTACACCCCACGATCACACTGATTGACAAGACAGCTGTGGCATAAAACAAGCCGCCCCTATAATCGTCTGAGTCCAGGCAGCTATCTATTCAGTTGTGTCTATAAATGCACATTGACTGGTATGCATGGGAATCTGATAACCTAAATTTCACTAACTCAGTCTTCCCACATCTCTGTTCCAGTCTCTGGCCCCAGGAAAGTGAGACACCACAACCAATGCCAAGCCCCACAAGACAAGTATGAATTTTGAACATGTTATTTCCCCAAACTGGTTCGACAACAAAGCTCTGTCTCTCCCAGGAGCTTTTAGAAATTGATAAACACTATCAGAACGGCACTGATTGAACTCATCTTCGTTTTAAACACAATGGTTTTAAGTTAGAGTCAATATCAAAACAGAAATACATATACAGAAGGTAAAACACACCATGGAAATCCTCTCAAATACGATGCGCTCAAAACCCCACAACATCACAAGATGAGCCTACTGCATAGTGTCGGTCCCAGCCCCAAACACCAGTGTCCGCAGCACAGTTCCTTTACGGGTCAGGAATGGTGTGGTGGTGGCGTGGTTCCAAGTCAAACAGGTAACAGCAGGCTGTTGTGCGTGACTCAAGTCCTGAATGGGGCCAAGCCACAACAAATGCTACCTGAAGATAAACTGAGTCCTGAGCACAACTCTGCTATTCTAGATTCACGTATAAGCCTAGAGAAAGATGCCCAAGCGCGGGCACATTCTAAGCATCCTGACATACATGATCTCATTTAGTAGACAAATATAGGTGGGAATGGCTTCCCTGGTGGCACGGTGGTTAAGAATCCGCCTGCCAGTGCAGGGGACACGGGTTCGAGCCCTGGTCCGGGAAGATCCCACATGCCGCGGAGCCACTAAGCCCATGCGCCACAACTGCTGAGCCTGCGCTCTAGAGCCCGTGAGCCACAACTACTGAAGACTGCGCACCACAACTACTGAAGCCCGTGCGCCTAGAGCCTGTGCTCTGCAACAAGAGAAGCCACGGCGATGAGAAGCCCGCGCACCGCAACAAAGAGTGGACCCCGCTCACCACAACTAGAGAAAAGCCCTATGCAGCAACAAAGACCCGACGCAGCTAAAGGTAAAATAAATTAATTAAAAATATATATAGGGCTTCCCTGGTGACGCGGTGGTTGAGAGTCCGCCTGCCAATGCAGGGGACACGGGTTCGTGCCCCGGTCCGGGAAGATCCCACATGCCGCGGAGCGACTGGGCCCGTGAGCCATGGCCGCTGAGCCTGCGCGTCCGGAGCCTGTGCTCCACAACAGGAAAGGCCACAACAGTGAGAGGCCCGCATACCGCAAAAAAAAAAAAAAAAAAAAAAGTATATATACATATGTGGGAAGCCTGACCTTCTAGCGCTGCTGAGCCCAATTCATTTATTTTACAACTCACAACTCTTATAAAACTATTTCAAGTTCATAGTTTTCAATTTTCTATCCAATAAACAACGCAAGTAAGTAAAATAACACTTCCATACTCTTTCTTCTAAAAATAAACTGACACATCTACCATTTTGGCAAATTTTATTTTGGCCTGATATAGAATTCGTATGTCTCTGATTCCACTTCTCTAAACAGAGCATGGGCTTTGCATGATCATCCACAGAATCAGTACTTTGAAGCAAGCAGATGACGAGTCACGCCTCTCGGAGTCCAGCTCGCACCACGAGCAAGGAAAAGAAGTTATCAAGTCCTTTTTGTTCATCTCCTCTGTCCACAGGGCTCACACTTGGAGACCTTTTACTCACTTGACGGCAGTTCGAACAGGCTCAATGAAGAAGTTTTCCAGCTCCCAAAAGACAGAAGTGGTAAACTAGAAGGCAAGGACAGGGGGCCCTTGGGCAGGAAGAAGGCAGCAAAGGAAGCAGCTGACAGCAGGGAGAAACACCCACTCCCTGGCTTCATCCATCACACCGTGAAACATCTATGCTGCGCTTCTGCTTCATCCACCTATTTATCAGGATGACACACGCTCCAGACTTCCAGACAGCTGTAACTTCATTGTATGCAGACAAATTTGGGCATGATTTTCAATCAGAGCATCGAGGATATCTAAATTTATTGTCCTGTCACCCACAGGTATGCCAGTCCAGGCTCTTGAGTTCTCATCTCCCCAAAAACTTGATGCTAGATTTTTCCCACCAACTCCTTCCTATGATCACCACACACAGACACCAGGGTATTTTTGTTTCTATTACACAAAGTTTAGGAAATACACCTAAATAGGAGAGAAGTGTCCATGCACACCACCACTCAAAAACAACCATTATTCCTATTTTGATGTGTCTTCCTCCATCTTTTTTCTATATGTTCTCTTTATTCGTCTTTTTCTGACATAGTCATGATCATACAGTATACACAATTTTCTCCCCTGCCTTTTCCACTTAAGTTTGTAACATGTTTACTTAATAATTCATACCTTGAGTCTCTCCAAAAATTACTCAAGATGGCCTAACACTATAGCCTAAGTATTCTGTCCCCGCTTGTTATAAATTATTTGTAAACATCACCTGGAACAACTGAATAGATTAAGCTCCTTGAGAACAATTACCCTGTCTCAGCTGCCTTTGAACCCCCAGCACCCGGTCTAAGAATAAATAACTTGCATTTTTACAAACAGTTCATTAAGGGGATTAATATGTTTTACCTAAGCACTTTCCTACTATTGATAGCTACACTATTTCCTAATTTCCACTAGTGTAAATATTCATGAGAGCTGCTTTGGAAAGCAGTTCAGCAATTTCTCAAATATATAGTTAAACACAGTTTCCATGTGGGTCAGTAATTCTACACCTAGGTGTATACCTAAGAGAAACGAAAACATATGTCCACAGCAGCATTATTCACCATAGCCAAAAGGTGAAAACAACTAAGGGCCATCAACTGATGAACGGACAAATAAAACATGGTCTATCCATACAATGGAATATTACTCAGCCACAAAAAAAGAATGAAGTACTGGCACATGCTACAGTATGGCTGGACCTTGAAGTCACTGTGCTGGGTGACAGAGCCAGACATAGTGGCTACATGTTGTATGCATCCATCTACAAGAAATGTCCAGACCGGGCAAATTCATAGAGACAGAGGGTAGATCAGTGGTTGTCAGGGGTTGGAGATAAAGAGAGAATGGGGAGTGATTGCTAAAGGGTTAGCCTTCCTTTAGGGGGTGATAAAAATGTTCTGGAATTAGATAGTGGATGATGGTTGCACAACTTTGTGATTATACTAAAAACTAGTAAACAGCATGCTTTAAATGGTGATTTTTATAGTATATGTGAATTACATCTCAATTTAAAAAACTATGACGAAAGGAACATCTCTGTGCATATAGCTCGTAACTCTGCATTTACAATTATTTTCTTTGGAAGATTCCCAGAAGTAAATTTATGGGGTTGAAGGATATGAAGGTCTTTTCTCCTTACTGTGAAGTCAACGTAAAAAAATTCATACAGTAAAGTATAAAGCATAGGAAATAAAATCACCTAAAATCCAGAAGCCCTGGATTCATGGTTTAGCTTATTTTCCTACATTTTTCCACAGCTGACATCATACTAGATACAATTTCACACACTAATTTTTTTCATTTGTGTATTTCCTCATGTCCTTTAAGTCTCTGTCACCATCGCTTTCTATCATTTTAGAACCTTCCGTCATGTGCAGTAAACCGTAACTTTTTTACCAGGCACACCTCCAGTCATCTATTTAGGTATGTTCCAATTTTCTGCTCCTTCTTGTAAATCATGGACATGAGCTCACAGCAAACACCTGATGTATACTGCCAAGGTGCTCTAGCATCAGCATACACTCCTACCAGTGAAGTGAGATGGCCTTTCTCATCACCCTCTGGGGATATCTTGAATGCATTTGTTCAAGGGCTCGGGACAAATCTGGATGGCACGAGCGTGCTTCACTTTCAAAGAACAAGCAGGTAGGGAGTGCAGCGTAAGCTCCCCGGCATTTTCAGGCTGTGGGGGAAGTGTGCAATGAGCTGAGAAGCCGGGCACCAGTGTCCTCCCACAGCAAAGTCCGCTCTGCAGTGGGACATGAAGGCCCCCACGCGGCCAGTTCTCACTGTTCTCCTCCTATCTGA